ATGATGATGATGATGATAATGATGATGATGATGATGATGATGATGATGATGATGATGATCATGATCATCATCACAAAATAATAATGATAATGATAAAGAGGACGTTACTGACCTTGTGTTAAAAGCAGAACCAAAAACGCATTATCACTCCAACTACACTCACTATCCGTTCCCGATCTGAGCCGTGGATGTTCATAACACGAGTATCTGGAAGAGCTCTCGGCACAGAGACAGAGGATCAAGGAAAAATTATTCAGATTGGGACTCTCCCGCACGTTCTCTTCCTCCCTATTTCTCTGTCTTTTTTGTGTTCCTGTCTCTCTTTCGTTGTCGCTTTTTTTCCCCTGTCTCTTTCTCCTTATCCCTCTCTCTTTTCCTCTTTATGTGTTTTTTTCTCCCCCTCTCATCCCTTCTCTTCTCCATCTCATTTCTCTCTCTGCATCTATCTATCTATCTATGCCTTATCTATCTATCTATCTATGCCTTATCTATCTATCTATCTATGTCTTATTTATCTATCTATCTATCTATACGTCTTATATATCTATCTATATGTCTTATCTATCTATATATATATATATATATATATATATATATATATATATATATATATATATATATATATATATATATATATATATATATATGTATATATATGTATATATATATATATATATATATATATATATATATATATGTCTATATCTATCTAAACTATGTCTATATTTCTCGCTCTCTATTTCTATCTATTCTCTCTCTCTCTCTCTCTCTCTCTCTTCTCTCTCTCTCTCTCTCTCTCTCTCTCTCTCTCTCTCTCTCTCTCTCTCTTCCTCCTCTCGCTCTTGCTTCCCTCCCTCCTTCCATCCACCCCTCCGTCGGCATAGGTGTGTACGTGTCTAAATTTGATTTACTACTCTTACCTGAATGTTGAAGTAAATACAGAATGGTTTTCCCGAATCCATTACTCTTATCGAACTCTCTCCCTGCTCTTACTCCTTTCAAACTCCCCAAGTGGCCCCGCCCTCTCCCCCTCCCTCCTCCCTTCCTCCCTCCCCTCCACTGTAATCATGAAATAGACAGGAAGGAGTCTTGAAGGCCATGATAGACATCGACTTGCATTAACCATGACCGATAATTTCATCCTCTCTCTAAGATCATTACAGCTGACAATGACAAAAAAAAAAAAAAAAAAAAGAAGAAAAAAGAAATTCGTTATCACAAAGAGCGCGACGAGAATGAGAAAAAAGTGGATAGAGAGAGAGAGAAAAAAAAACATAATTTGGGTCACTTTATTGTAATGCTCTGATGTACGAAGGTCTGGCGCTCGACCTTTGTGAGTCAGGGGTCGAAGGAGAGCTTGGGGAGTAGGAAAAGGATGGAGGGGGGGGCAGAGAGGAGGGGGGGCGGAGGGAGAGGAAGGGGTGGAAAGGAGGGGAGGAGGGCGGAGGTATAGGAAGGGTTGGAGGGAGAGGAGGGGGGTGAAGGGAGAGGAAGGGGAGGAGAGGAGGGGGTGGGCAGAGGGAGAGGAAGGGGAGGAGGGAGAGGTGGGGAAGGAGGGCGAAAGGAGAAGAGCGATACGGGATGGTACGGATAAGAAGAAGAAAAAAAAGGGGATGTGAAAGTAAGGATGAGGGAGGTGTGATAGGAAAGGGGAAAGGCATAGGGAAACAGAAGGGGATGAGGAAAGAGAGAGAAAGAAAGAGAAAGAGAAGAGGAGAGAGAGAGAAGAGAGAGAGAGAGAGAGTTAGTATATAGAGTGACGAGAGAAGGAGGAGAGAGGGAGAGAGAAAAAAAAAAAAAATATATACAAGAAAAAAGACAGGAAATTCAGACAGAAAAAGTGGAATCCCATAGTAGACGACTCACACACCTATAAGATAAAAACGACAAAAAATCATAATAAATAAATAAATAAAAATGAAATAAGATAAATGAATAAATAGATAAAACGCCAAGATATTCTCCACCCAGGAAAGCGATCGCAAGCCCCCCCCCTACCCACCCCCCAACCCCAACAGGCTGAAAAGCTCTTAGGTTTCACGACAGCATTGGACATTGCGGTGAAAGGCCCAGTGAAGAGTTTCCTTGCATCACTCTCTTCTTCGGGGATCCCATTCAGTGTCGTTTCACAGGTTGCGAAATGTTTTTTCAAGCCAACGTCGGGTGTAAAACATCTATATCTGTAATAGCATTGGTGTATTTATGAGAAAAGTCAATTAACGTTTTTATTTTTATTATTTTATTTATTTTCTTATTACAAATCAACAAGACTCTGCAGCAATTATTTACATCACGTCGTCCCCCCTCCGCCCTCCCTGCGTGCCACGGTTCCCAGTATTTCATTTTTATCTCTCTTTTTTTAATACTTTTCCACCCTTGTATTGGTGCGCCGCAAAGCCAAAGGGATAAGGCTAGGCATCGTTAATAGCAACCTCGCTTACGACGGAAAAAAATAGTTATCAGTTCATTTCGTCTTTGTTTTTTATTATTGCGGCGATTA